ATAAGTGTGCTTATTTTAAAACAGAATCCGAAAATTTTATTTTTGCTGTTGAGGCAATTTAAAGAGGTTCTTGAAGTAAAACACTATTATGTTGAGAAATGTTTCTGAGAAATTACCTTGAAAGTATCAAAATAATTGTGTAGTTGTATCTGGATATTATTTATCATCATGGTAACTGACAGATATGTCTTTCTGACAGGAGAAAAAAAGGTTTTTACAGTGCTGAGACAGAGCAGATCTCAAAGGAAGCCAAAAGTAAAGTGAAGACAGGAAAGAATGTGCTCAATACTAAGATAGTCACAAACCCAAGGAGGTCAAGATCTCTTACTGTGAGTGGTTTGTGATTCACTAAGCAGAATGATATCTACAGTTAAAGCCAACTTATCAATGGATATAGATTCGTGGATTATTTCTTTCGTTTTATAAAATAATGTGATATGTTGACATGTTTTGCCACATTTTATTCAGCCTGTTAGGTCAGTCACAATTCCACAGTCTGCATTCTTTATATAAACAACACAGACTTCTTCCAAACATGCCAGACCCATTCATACACTTGTCAGCTGTCACTACAACACAGTTTTCTGTTGCATCTAACAGACTGCTACTATCACAACTAACACAATTCTCTGTCTCACCTAGCACACTGCCTGTTACTATCACAACTAACACAGTTCTCTGTCTCACCTAAGACACTTGTTTGTTACTATCATGACTAACACAATTCTCTGTCTCACCTAACACACTTTCTGTTACTATCACAACTAACACAGTTCTCTGTCTCACCTAACACACTTTCTGTTACTATCACAACTAACACAATTCTCTGTCTCACCTAACACACTTTCTGTTACTCTCATAACTAACACAATTCTCTGTCTCACCTAACACACTTTCTGTTACTATCACAACTAACACAATTCTCTGTCTCACCTAACACACTGTCTGTTATACAATAGAGAGAGGATATAGAACAACACAATCAGGAACCAACCAAGCCCTTCGTGTGGAACTCATACCACAGAGTGTATAATTATCTTGGTGACCAACATGTAGTAAGTGCCTCTGCCGTGGCTGGAGTGAGAAAAGCTGTGTTGACACTGCTGTTTTGTTGAAATCACATTTTTATACTGGCATTTTGAGTGGTATCGCAGTTGAAGAACTATGTAGATTTGTGATTTCAGTTGCAGTTGATATTTGAATACCGTGCTTGCAATTTGCTGAATTTGCTGGAGTTGCAGTTGAAATGTCATAAGAGTTTGCAGTTTGCTGTAACAGTTATAATTGAAATACCATGCTTGTTATTTGCTGAATCATGAAGTTTAAAGTTGCATTTCAGATGTTAGGTAATTAGGCTTATTTTAACATGTTGCATTAAGCTGACATTTAAGAGTGAGACTGCGTCTTTTATCACTGATTCGTGTCTTTACAGTGTGCAGCTGAAATGAAATATCATGCTTTTTATTTGCTGAATTATGAAGTTTGAATGAAATACCTAGTATTTGTATTTGATTTGTTGAGAGTGATTCATTTGCTTGCAGCAGTCTTTTTGCAGTTATTAAGAGTTTTTGCATGCAGATTTGCTTGCTCAGTTTTAAAGCTTTGTTTCGTCTGTATATTTGCTAATATACTGTTCACTTTGGATGAAAGAATTCAAGTATGAAAATTTTTGTGTAGGTAAATTTGATATCACAGCCCTGCTTTAGTATAATTGTGACAATATTTGACTTCCCTAATATACAGTTTGTCAGATATATTAAATTTACTAGTAGTTAGTTTTGTTCCCACTTTTTACTCCTCGGCTGAGTTATTTTATTGTCTATTTTTCTTTCCTATTTTCCCTTTCAATTAAAATCATCAACTAAAAATTCATTCAGTTTAAAGTGAATAGTCTGTTTGAGACAATATCCATCAATCTTGCAGGGTACAGATTTCCCAACAGATGGCAGCACTGTGGGCAGTGATCCAGGAAGTGGGCACTCAAGGGGTGATGGGCGCCCTGATTGGGCCAAGGTACCAACTGGAGCACCTTTTATGAATAAGTAAGGCAGGCACCACCATGTTTGGGGTTGAAAATTGTAAAAATCAGGAGTCCCCCCCCCCCCCCCCCCCCCCCCACACACACACACACACACACACACGTTTTTTAGCATCCGCTCCCATCACTCTTTCAGCTTCTTCTCTTTAAAGTGAATCATTTAAAAGACCACAGATATTTCCTCCAGTTGAATTTGTAATATCAAATCCAGATGCCTGATAAAAAAAATAAAATACATAATTTTATAGTGTGATTTTATATGTTATTCTATGTATTTCCTCCTCAGCGCGGCGCACTTGGATGCCTCCCGGAGACCCCCACCTGTCCAGCCAGTCCCCAGAGTGAAGGCAGTCAGGACTGAGAGAGATACTCCATGTAAATCTCCATTTGTCTTTCTCTCTTGCCTTCCCTCTCTCCCTCCCTCTCTCACTCACTGTCTACCCCCCCCTCTCTCTCTCTTTCCATTCATTCATCCATCCTTCCCTACCCCTCTCTCTCTTTCTCCCTCCATCCAACTTTTCCTCGTTCTTACCTCATACCGACTGGACAGCATTGAAGCTAGTAACTGTCATCTGTTGTAGACCAAACTGAATACAGTTGTATTGGTATATAAGATCAGAGAGCAGAGCGAACAGAGAGAGAGAGATTCGAATAAGCCATTTTGTATTGCGAAAGGACAAAGCCCAATGTTTAACTGATATGAACAACTTTCATTCCAGCCTCCCCATTATTTGAACAGCGACCCTGGCAGGTCCCCCGGGGGATGGGCTCAGATGATGAAGCACCTTCAGATGAAGAGGATGTCCTCAGATTTGCGAGGAACATTGAAAAATATGAACAGTACTGAAGTTTTTTTTTGTGATTTTTTTCCCACAAGAACATACGCATGTTTACCACCGACATATAAATATCAGCTTGACTTTGTGAAGAGCATTTCAGCAACATATATGAGATAATATTCTGTTATTTTATTGGGACAGTTTCATATATGTCATGCTTTATGAATCTGAATGTTTTGTCAATGCTTTTGACAATCTTGTCATCACCATGTTCAATGTTATATTTCACCCAGGTTTGGCATTTCTGCAATTATTGGTACTTATTTGTTCTAACAGTGTTTATTTCCACAGAAGTCATCTTTCAGAAATATCCAGTATGTTAGCTTTATAATATCAGCTTATTTTTTTAAATTAAGTCAGTATATTTTACCTCCAAAAAAGTTTGTTTACATATCAAGTAAGCAATATTTCTTTAAATTAACATGTTTATTTGCAACCTCATACTTAAATACAGTGCTTTAACTTCTTTTTAACACTGGCATTTCTAAGCGATTATTGTTAGCATCTCTCACATTAGCTTTTATTCCATGTTTTATCTCTATTTTTGTTTGCATGCACAAGTGTTGTATAATTTTCACTACATGGTTATGTATTTCTCACTTCCTCTTGGTAAAGAAATGCTTTATGTGATTTTTGTTATATAATTAAATAATTTGCAATAATTTTCACTTTTTCATTAGTTTAAGCTTTAATGTATTTCTCCAAAGGAGAAATTTTTTCTTCAGTGATATATTTACCTATTGAATGTTTATTTTGTGATTTATTTTATATGCATCTCAAAATAGTCTAGGTATGCGTTTTATTATTTCTCTTTCACTTTTCTCTCCTGTAAATACTTAACATTTTCCAGCTTCTTTTTATCTCAGTGGATCACGTGCAAACTTTTTTCTTTATCACATAATTTAGATCATATTTGACATTTCATGGGTATATTAGGTAAAATTGAAAGCTTAAATTATATAAAATAAATAATTTTATTTTTGATTTAGTTTTATCTGATGTCAAATAAAACAAGAACTTGTTATCAAACAGTTTTTTATTGGCTTTTTTTATTTTCAGACCAATGGTCAGTAGTTCCCGTGAAAAATAAATAGGGTATAATTGTTTCTATTAGATCATTTATAATACATCGAAAGCTTCACCATGATAAGATGTAAAATATTCCACTGGTAGATTATCTGGAGCTTGGTCAGTTACTCTTGTCCCACTGACTGGACTGTATGACCAAGGACATTAAAGCACATTTAGAACAGTATCAAGTAATTAACATTTATACAGCATCTTAACTCTAACATTTAAAGTGAATATTTACTCTCTTCAAAATGTGACTACATAGTATGCATTGTCAAAAAAAAAAATTGAAAGATGGAAAAAATTTCACAAACTGAACATTCAAGAATTCTTCACCCTACCCATCACAGCACTTTTAATTTTACATATATTTTGAGTAACTGAAAATGACATAAAACCAAGACAAAAAGAAAAGTCACAGTATAGCTGTGCTTTTACACTTTGCACAGCAAATGAGCAGATTAATTCCTTTGTCTAAATCATTTTTGGTAATGAAACTACAGGGGTTTTCACTCTATCTGAAAAAGGCATGGTCTAATATTAATATTTTCCCTCCCCTATACACTAGAGGCCAACTCAGTGATGACATAAATTCAATGCAAAAAATCTTGCTGGCTTAGAGTGAAAAAAAATTGTCATGAATTATCCAGAGACATCTGTATTAGTCCATGAATATCTGGTGAAAAGCCAATCTCTGGCCTGGTAATTGGAACCCCAACCAATATATATATATATATATATATATATATATATTTTTTCAACTATTATCAATAATTTTACTCTTGTACATATCATATTCAGTGGGTGATGTGTAATTATTTATTGGATTATGGTCAAAAGTAGACCTGTGATGTAGATCGGGGGGGGGGGTCTCTTCCAGGAAAAGGGACTTAAAATATTCCCTACTATAGTGTTGGAGTCACTTTCACAACTTCCCCTATGAAAAGGGGGGGGGGGAGTGAACCTGTGGCCAGACCTGTATGATGAATTACATTCTTAACACTACTTTTATGCAGTAGTACTATTGTAACACCAAATTGTATAATGTTTAAACAGTAAAATATCTTTCAAGATATGACTTGATCCAGAAATATGCTGGATAACATTAAAATGTAGCATAAACAGTGAGGTTTACACACCCTTAAACATGACATTGGTGACCCTTAGACACTAAGATTAAGAGGTAGCAGGCAATAAAATATGTAGTGACCATAGAAGCTGCCCACAGCACTGACCAATGACAAATAATGCTTTCTCCACAAGTTAAGTCCTGATGCAATCAGACTAGTATAAGATGATCTTCAGAAAAGCAGGAAGTGGTCATCTACCCATGCCTTGACGTTCTGGAGCACAAGCAGCTAGATCTGCAAGAATCACCTTCCAAGTGTGGCCTTGCACTGTGATCTTTTCAAAGGCAGACTCCCTAGTGTCAAATATGTCATGCTCAGCATGTCAATGCAAAAGTGTCTTCTCTTCAGTAACAACAAATTAATAAATATTCTTTCATGATTTTCTCCCTCAGTGTTTAGCATGCCATAATCATGCTATTTCACTGCAGAAGCACATCAATTTTTTTGTTTTAAAAGCATCCATGGATTACATCTTTATATTAATTTACTTCATCTCAACAAGACTTATTCTGGAAGATGATTTTTCCGGTGCCAACATCGAAACTTTTGCTCATCTTAAATAAAGAAGAGGCCATCACAGAAGATTTACATTTCTTCACTATACTATACAAAATGATTTTCTACACAAAGATGTTTTCTTCCACACCTCTCCAAAATAACACAGAAACCACTAACAATCAGTACATAAATTGCTACATTGATTCCTTTTTCAACTGAAGATGTTTTTATCTATAGATAAGTATAGGTATAAGGACACTAAAGGCCTGTTCATCTCTCAGTGTTTGATTGGCCTGTAGTGTAATGTCAAGTCCCCACCTTGCTTCCATATAAAATGTTTCACTGTCCTCAAATCCATATTAGCATCCAGAATCTGTAATACAAAACAAACAATAAAATTCCTAAGTAAGATAATAGACTCACTGTAATAAATAAGGACTCTGAATAAATGAGACACAAGTGTAAAACTAGCATCTAGACAATATCTGGGTAAATGTTCATTAGCTTGGTAGTTGGCTCAAAAATGAAAATTATCAAACACCAGCCATTTTCATTTATAAATGAAGCACATGACCAGTAAATAAAAGGCCGACTTAAATCACATTCAATTTGGCTTCATAATTTTCACAGTGTAAAAGTGTGCATGTGATTTAATGTGCGAGTATGTGCGTTTTTGAAAATGTGACAGCTATAGGACTAAAACATACCTGATCATTGCACAGTAGCTCCACCTTTTCTTCTGCAGGTATCCCATCATCCTCTGGGACCTTGTCGTAGTCTGTCCTGTCCTGACCCGCGTTCTGTGACCCTGTCTCTGACCCCTGACCCATGACCTTTTCGAAGACGTGTTCGACCACTTTCCGCACTTGTAACATGTCACTGGCTGACAGTCTGTCCCTGGAAATAACAAAGATTTTCTTATAAAATCTGTCTCTCTTTCAAGAATGTGACAGTCTTCAAAGTCATAAGGGAAATTTTCATTTATTACCGCAAAGCCAGCCTTATATCTATATACCCCATTCACACTACGCTCAGTTATCCGGATAAATTGCGAATTAGGTCACAATTCGAATAAATGCAGTAGTGTGAACGCAAGAGGATTTTTGTAATGCGCATTTTCAAAATCCTGCAAGCGAGGTGGATTTCTAAGCCTGATCCGGATAACTTACCGGAATCGACACCTGTGCAGATCTAACTGCGCATGTGTGCAGATAAGTGCGGGTATCTATGAACACTTGTTTATTACTTTAGCGATTGCACCAAACGTATTTGGAGGTCACTACTCACTACAACATGAGGAAACAAACTTATTTTGCCATCTTACACTTCTCAAGAATGCTGAAATGTCTTTAGAGTTGCATTTGTCGTCACAAATTTTTGTTGGTATTTTAAGATTTCCTGTGCGGCGTATGCGCGAGCGTTCAAAACAGGAAGTTAAACCTGAAATTTTCAACGTGTAATTCGGTTTCGCTTAGCGTGTGTGAACGCAATACCGAATCGAATTCCTCACGAAAAATTCGGATTATAGAAATGCGCATTTTTGCAACTGTAGTGTGAATGGGGTAATAGTCATTTCAAGATATAATTATAAATATACCTTTTGTACATTTAAACATAATATATATCAACAATAAATAATTAAAATAATATTAGATATCAAACACATAAGCATCTTGTGGTAAAAGATGATAATGTATTATTGTAAGTTACTCTGCATTTCCTTTTAGTGGTGTGGATAACACAATTGGATTCACTGTTTTACATTAATCACTAATAGTGTTAAGTTAACACTGGACACTTCTGTAGCCGAAGCGCTGTAAAATTATTTTAAATCAGACGTTCTGATCACTTACTTCTTCAGGCACTTGATACCTGACGTGGAGTGTGGTTGTAGGAAAAATGGTATCTTGTTGAACTTGGGCATGTTTTTCTACAAATACCAAAGAGGAGTTACAGCAACTAACATTATGACAATAACGGTTACACTACTGCGACCTTTCTCAGTGTGTACACTGTGTGAAATGTGAAGTTCACAGTAGTGATCTAAAGCTTTGTTAGGTGCAGCTTAAGTGTGTGTAGAAACTGAAAAGTTTAAGCATATAACATAGTCAAAATACTACACAGATGAATTTCCATCATACATCTCTAATGACCACATTTATTCATTTAAAATGACCACTGTCCACTGCAATGACTCACATCTACTGTGATGTCCACCACCCAGGGCGGTACCGTCTCGTTAAGCAGCATCTGCTCCGTATCTCCACCAGCGTCTCGACAAAGCAAGCGAAACAAGGTGCGGCCACCCATCTCACTGAAAGAGGGTAAAATTGTCTGTACTAAAACTGATTTAGAAAATTTTTTTCAACAGGTTAATTATGACCTTTTATTGAAAAAGTGACACTAAATTAAATGCAATATAATTACAACAATAATTAAGTGATTTTCAGGTTTGAAAATGATGAGAGAGAGAGAGTTGGGAAAGAAAGGAGCATGCTCTACCTGAATATGAGGGGTGTGTGCCCAGGGACACTGAAATATGGATTTCCAGTTTTCCTATCAAAATTCATGTCTCCATTCATCTCACCATTCATATCACCATTTTCTGAATAAAAAAAATTAAAGAAAATGTGAAAATATGTTTTCAAATAGATCCTTAGATATATGGAATCTTTCACATCAATTTTTAGTGAAAAAATTCCAACCAGGTGTATAGTAACACTCCAGCCTAAGTTGGCATAATTATATCTATATTTTGCTAATCTTTACCCAAATGACCTTGACCTTGTTCTAATTTAACCCATGTGACCTTGACCTTGTACCTACCTGACCCCTCCTCCATTTGTGTTCTGGGCCAATGTTCCAATAGAGCTTGTAGTAACATGCCACCTAAATTTACTGCACAGAGAAAGGAAAAAAAAAAAAGCTGAATTCATGGTTGACTTGGTCACTTCTTCACATAGAGGCTAAATACAGATGTCTGAGTTGGACTTAATTTTTAAGCTTATCAGATATTGTTTCAGACATTAGAACTACAAATAATCAAATAATAAGAGAATGCAAAAAAAAAAAGAAAAAAAAATTGGCCACTGCTAAATATTTCCAACCTCGGGCAATGATAACAATTCTGAACTGACAAGATTTCACCCACTGGGTCCCGGGCTTTGCTTACATTTAGTGTCTGGTCCATCCCCACTGGTTTCTATACCAACATCTTTCGCTGAAACCCAAGCAGCAAAACAGTCCGTCTCCTCTAAATGTATTGTGATCATCTGAAAAAGAAAGTGATATGAGATTGCTTAGATCAGTAGTCAACTGCTTGAAATCTTAATTGATTTATACAAGTGCCATAAAGTATACTAGAAGCAATGTCACACACACATATACACAAAAACATGCAGACATGTACACCCACACATGCATGTACGTGCGCATGCAAGTGCACACACAAACACACAGAGAAACCACCTACCCCAGTTTTGAGATCCACTGAGAACCAGTTGGGTACATGGACCATCTTAAACCTTTTTTTGATTTCTTCCTCCAGATCCACTGCGCCCAATTCTTCTATTTTCCTAGCCTTTAAAATGTCCAAAGAGCATATGGATTAAGCATTTTTTTTTACAGAAAAGGAGAAAATTTTGATGACTGTTTAAAAAGTATTTATTTATATAATTCACTGCTAAGAAAGAGTATGCAAATGTTAATGTGTTTCATCAAAGCCCTTATAATGGCAAAACTATAAAGCACTTGACTTGCACTTGCCTTATAAAAGAAATTCCCAAAAATTCAAAATGGCCTCCAGATAAAACAAGTTGACCTACTTACTGTTAAGACATCGTACAGGGCTACATCTTCATTTGTGTCCTTAGTTAATACATGTCTTTTATCATTTAATACATGGTATTGTCTTATACTAGCACCACCTAAAACAGATAATTATCATTTTTAAAATTCACAATTCATATATGACGACATAATTATGGTTACAAATAACAACACACAGATTGTTTTCACTGCCCTATTGATGGAAGTGAAAAATTCTGCAAACATGCATTTGCTAACTTAAGTTACCATTTCACTTTACATTCAACAAAGTTTTTTCTCTTATAGTCTTTCACTTACCAACTTTAAGGTGTTATATTATACTGCAGTTTCACACTTTGAAGGATTGATAATGTCACTTTATTAACGTTTGTTACATGATAACAAATTTATATTCTGACGGACTGGTCATTTGCAGGTCAATATATCATACCACACTGACCTCCTAACAGGTCAGTACATTCTCTCTGCATTAAAATAGCTACCTTTGATTGTCATGTCTGGCTGTGTGCACATCGGTGTGGGAATCTCATTAAAATTATCATAGTCGCCAGACATTCTTGATAGCCTGTGTTTGATTGGCTGAAATTAATCAACATATGCTTAGATCATTATCAAATGGCTATAGCAATGAAAGTTCTATTCAAGCAAGAATTGAGTTTATAATGGATGGAGTCCATGCTCAGAAAAATAAGCACATAGAATTACATTGCAGTTTCATGATCACAAATGACAAAATTAGTCGTGATGTTAGAAAGTCCTCTTTAGATAGTTGAAATTCTTGAAAAATGTCTGTGTATCAAATCAAATCTTTAAAACAAATATCAGCTGAGAAATCAAGGACTCACCCAATTCCTAATAGTAGAATCTGTTGTTGACACCCATAATGATGGTTGGTCAGAGTTTTGGACAAGTTCAAGCTGGAAACAGAGATCATACACATTTTGTTAGTATACTGTCTATCAAACCACAACCTAGAAAAGTTTTCTTTATTGACTGTAAAAACAGGACCATCATTAAAAGGCGAAATTTAATGGTTTTCAGCAAATCAAATTACTTTGAACACAAACACATTAGTTAAAAAAATAAATAAAAGAGGAAAAAATATGTTATAAGTTCTCCACCCCCCACCCCACACACATACACCAAGACACACACACACACAAATACAGTAAATTCCATGGGATAACTTACTGTTAAAACAGGTGCTTTCTCCTCACATATCAGTGTCCTATTGTCAGGATTCCTGACATCTGTGGCCCAGATTCTGCGGTCACGCCCGCCAGAGTAAACCGTGGTGAATGTGTCGTTTGCCTGCAATTATAATACAGTTTTATTCAGTTTTTTAATTATATAGTATTTTATATCTTACAAATTATACAGTATTTTAAGCAGTATTTTAAATAATACAGTATTTTATACAGTTTAATTTTATGCTAAAATAGACACCAGGCATAAAAATAACAGTTTACCTATCATGATAGGACCGAAAGTTGGTCAGCTTTTAATCTTTTCACTTCCCAGGATTTAAAATTTCACACAGGAGCAGGTGAAATATTTCATTTCAAGTTGCAGCATGTCAAATATTTTAGGACAAGGAAGACTACTGTACCTGCAAAGCCCACACTCCCTCGTCGTGCACTCGTATTGTAGCCACACATCTCTGCTGACCTAGTGACCACAGTCTTATGGTGCCATCTGAACTCCCAGACAGACACTACAGAGAGGAATTACAGTAGCCATTTATAAACCTTGACTTTTATTTTACTAGATGATGCTTTTATAGTTAGAAGACATACTGTTGTGTTAGTGTTATAATATAATAATTATATTGTCTACAATTTTATTTGTATTCATTTCCTTTTTTACTTATGTTTGAATCATCATGTTTGGGATATTGTTACTTAAAATTAGGCATGTTGATATAAAACCTAGAAGTTTATTAATCAACATGAGAAGATTCATAACCTGACTTTATATCAATATTCCATTTTGTTAAATTTGAAATAATATTATATCTAAATATAGTAATACAAAGCCATTTAACTGTACCTGGGTGCCATCCCTGTTGATTACAATAGCCTTTACATTATCAGCATGTCCTCGTAACTTCATCAGCTTCTGACAGGTCCGCGGGTCCCAGACTCGCAACACTTTCTCAGTTGACCCAGAAATAATCACACTGCCCGGCTGGTTCATGGCAAGACTGTATATGGAGTCCTTGCTTCCATTTAGGGAAGACGCTGAAAAACACAAGGCAGCAAAGCTGTCAAATGTACAGAGATAAGCAGAATAAAATGATGCACAAAATTGATTATTTGGCAATTTTTAAGCAATATTACATAATGCTAAGCAGCACTATCACCACCAAAATTTAATTATGCACCAAAAGTAACATGGGAAAATGCTGAAAAACACAAAAATAAGAACTCAATCATGTGCCTCAAACAGATGGAGAGTGTGAATTGTGGTATTATTTCCTTTGATCTTCTTTCATCCCTGTACTCAGCTGAAAAACTAGATAGTATCTGTGGACTACAAACATCTTTATAGAGTAATAAGGAATATTTTTTTATTCAACCCAATTTTAAATGTCTTTATGCCTTTTTACTTGACTGACAGTGGTTACAGTTGTTTTACAAGCTGAGAGAAGTGTGCTCACTTGTGACCGTATTATTAGCTGCTGTCAAGGCAGTTAACGTTCTGACGTCCCACAGAAAGATGGCGCGGTCCAGTCCAGCTGACGCTACATGCTCACGATCTTTGGCATATGCCAGGGCTTTCACATAGTCCTGAAAAAAAACACAATCATGAAAATATGATTTTTTTGTGAATGGTTTCTGAGAATATACACTGCAATATGAAGTTGATTCTTTTCATATCAAAACAAAACAAAAAAAAAAAACTGATCACTTTTTTTTTAAGATAGCATTAAAAATTATTCTTATTACCTATTCCCTAACTGCAAAGTTTGACATATTGAGATTCTTGCTTTTTAATAAATATTTTTGACATATACAAGTCTATTAAATGCACTGATTTGTTACCTTGTGAGTTCTTAGTGTAGACATACAGAATCCTTTGTGAGCATTCCATACTTTTACTGTGGTATCACTTGAGGCAGATATCACTGGAAAACAAACAACAATTTACAGTCCTGTAGGTTGATGTTGCATTTCATTAAAGACAGCCAGTTTGTAAATTGCACAAAAATGTTATTGTTGATATATGCCTGTGCACAGAAGTTTACAAAATAGGCTCTTGCAAAGACTGTACACACACCACCTTTGCAATTATACTCACACATTTGCACATGCATATTTTAATTCATATGCATTCTCACACACAGACAAACACACACACATGCATGCACGCGCACACACAAACACACACACACACACCAATGCACACAGACTAGAACTCACATGTTCTTCCCTCACAGCACAGCACCACATCATTGACCCAATCTGTGTGGTGTTCCATAGACTGGATGTATGGGTCCTGAAATGAATATAATAGAGTTAACTTAATACCATATTAAGCAAAAACATCATACTGAAAAGATCACAATTATAACTTCCTTCATCTAAAAGTAATCCACCTCCAAATGCCTTAAACAAAAATACCTTTTCCATAAGACAATTAACACAGGCGGACAGAAGCTGTCTGGGTCTTCCAGAAGATGATCTGAATTTATTCAAGTTCACATTGACGGGCATCTACG